CCCCAAAACCCCAAAACCCCAAAACCCCAAAACCCCAAAACCCCAAAACCCCAAAACCCCAGTGTTTATTATAATTATTGAATCATAAATTGTAAAATATGGTAATGATTTAAGACGAACTGGTCGATAGAAGGATCAAATTTAATAAATGACTATTTTATTTAGGATAAAAGAAATTTTAAGAGATTAATCAAGGATTCTGATAATAGTGAATTTTTAGAAAAATTAATTTTGATAAGTTTGGAAACAATTTGAACAGATTTAATTGGAAAGATTTTGGTGGGATTTAGCACTTCATGGATGAATTTTATTTCGAGTCTTATTTAGTTTTCTGATTTATTGATGTATAGGGATGCACTTGATGAACTGGCTGGCTATTTTGGTGAATTAGAACTCCAGAGAGAAATGAACATCCATGTAAGTGAGCCAAGCTTATCCAACGTCCTCAATTTTACCCCATTTAAAATATCCATTTTATAATCTTCCATAAAATAAATTTATTACATTTTTGATATTTCTGACTAAATCAAAATAATCTTGATATTCTTTAAAAGGCTCTTTATTTAGTTTAGTTCAGTTTTTAGAAAAATTGTTTAAACAATGAAACAATCTGATTATGAGCAATATTCCTGATAGTTAAAAAATTGGCGTTATTTATTAACTTTTTATGTTAAAGTATTCTGAATTTCGAAATAATTTAGGATATGTAATAAAACTTTCATATTTAAGAGTGGTTGGAATAAAAATAAGAAGACTACAAAAATCCTTTAGTTACTGAAAATTAAGCTCATCCAATTCAATCAATATTGTTCATAACTCAATGCCTATATTTTCTCAAGAATGTTCCAATTAACCTATATTTGTCACATTATAATATATTCTCTCCCTACTTCCAAAACCCCAAACTAACAAAATATCTCCACCACAAATCTACTGTTCTGTTCACGCACAAGCCTTAAAATCTTTACTTGACTTATTCTCGAAATCATAACAATTCTACAGCTGTGGATTACGGAACAATTGGACCACAGTAAGAGGTTTTAGTAATAGAATATAGAGATTCGGACGATAGTAAGTGGGCAGGTAAGATAGAGGGGTTGAATGGGAGTTAGCTGATGTATAGATCCTGGAGGGGATAGTATGAAGGAGGCTGGTAGGGGTGGATCAGAGGGGAGGGGGAAAGGAGGTACTGAGAGTGAGGAAGAGAAGAAGGAAAGCGAAAGTGCTAGTAAAGAATGAAATAAGAGTGAAAATATAGGAAAAAGAAGTGATTTAAGTGTAGATTTAGAAGCTCAGAATGTTGAAGAAGAGAAATAAAGGTAATTTCTTTGATTAATAGAATACAAATGTAATGTCTCGGCTGGCTAGCCTATAATCAAATTTTAGCTAAATGCATGATTGAAAAAGAAAAGAATGAAAATGATGATTACATCATAAAACTTCAAGAGAAATTCGGAAAATCAAAAAATAACAATAATTTAGAAGAAGAGAAAAGTTCTTCAGTTGTGAAGCTGAATCCTTTGAAGATTGAAAAATATGAAGAAAATATGGAAGAATGCTTTTCTTTGACTTGGATAGGCTTTGATGATGATTTTGATACTCTGTGAGATCTTATTCAATCATGAATTTCACATCATTCAAATCGTATAGTATTTAAGAAATGTAAAATTCCATTAATATCCGAAGAAAATGTTGAGGACAAAAAGTTTGAAACTCCAGAGGGTAAATTGAGGCCGCTCTACGGAGTGTCTTTTGAAGAATGTTTATTTAAAAAATGAGATGTGTAAGTAAAAGTCAAGATATGTGGACATATATTTTAGATATGATAAGGCTGACCAAATCGGACTCCTCCTCAACTGTGAAGGCCTTCCTTCCCGATCACCAAGTGGCGACCCTCAACAAGTCGGAGGAGGGATCTCCAGCATCACTTTCAAGAACAACGGATTCTCAGAAGTAGAAATGGCCAAGCTCAAAGTGTACTTGTGTTATGCAGAGAACCTAATGATTTATGAAGAAAACTAAAACTACTCCAAAGGTTTTTCAATATCTCCCCACTCAATTGGGGTTTTGGGGTTTTGGGGTTTTGGGGTTTTGGGG